AGTCAAAAATCTGAAATGAAATTATCATCTTATTCTACAACTATTCTTTCTCCTGTTCAAGAAGAACCAGAAGAAATTCAGACATCTGAAGATATACCATTTACTAATATAACAAATAAAATTAATGAATTAATAACTTTTAATAATAATGAAAAATTAAAATCTCTTCATGAAATATCTTTAAACTTGTGGACTAGCAATCCATCAGATATTATTCCATCTATAGAAGAAACATCACAACAAAAAATCGATGAAAATAAACGAGTGATATTATGAATTGAGTTTAAAAATTAAAATATTTTCTTTTTTATATCAAGGTTACAGTATCTTATTCTTCTTTACTCAATGATCTTTCATCAAGAAAGAATATTTTCTCAAAGTAAAGATTCAATCATTTCTCAATCATTAAAAGGACAAACAATTCAAAAACAGAAACCTTCGAAAAAAACGTCAAACAGTGATTATCAAACAAATTGAAGATATTGAACTTGTTCCAACAATCAACGATGAATTTCTTTCTACTCAAGCTTTTAATATCAACCAAGAAAATTAAGAAATTCAATCTTCTATTCCAATTACATCCGAAAGTAAAGTTATCTATCATAAACTGGGTGGTAAAATGAAGAAGAAAAAAAAGAAAAAAATCAAACAAATAAATATTAATGATACAAGAATAAAAAAGAAAGAGAAACAAAATCCCAAGAAAAACCACTAATAGTAATTTTACGTAAAGCTGTTCCATTTATTTCTGCTACTCAAGACAAACAAATTGATGTTGAAGATGATCCTGTCATAAAATATAAAAAGAAGAAACGAAAACATTCATGTAAGATATTGTTTTTTTTTTATAGTAAAACAGGTTTTAGAGAAAATTTTCTTTCAATTTTTTTTTCGATCGATGAAGAAGATCAGCAGACTTTTGAAAAACATCAAATCAGAACGAAAATATCTCTGTTTAACCATTATTTTCAGACCTTTCAAAAGCTTGTTGATAGTCTCTAATCTATGAATCAGAGAACAATTCTTAACTGAGATTCGGAAAGAATATAAAATTCTTATTTTCGTTCAATGTTTGACAAATTCTACTAGCCATTTTAATCAGTCGAAAAATCTTCAATTTTTTAGCGAAATCAACTCATAAATATTCTCGATCTCGATCATCAAGCAAAAGTAAATCGAAAACTAGAAGAAAAACTAAAAGTAAAAATCGATCAAAAAAAAAAAAAGTTAGACATAAAAGAAAATATTCAAATCAAATCGAAATCAATTAAAAATCAAGATGCTATTGCAATACATTTACTTAATGTAGAACGTTTTACAATTCCACCTATATCTATTATTAATTTTAATGAAATACATCATAAATATAATGATACTATTGAAATAAAAAATGAAAAATTTGAACGATCACGTTTACATTTAATTAAACCAATGATAAAAAATTTTGAATTTGATAATAATTTTCAACAACATAATAAAGAAATTCAAAATATTGATGCATATAATCTTGATAAAGTATTATTTTATTTTAATAATGATACAAAAGAAATTGATCAACTAGCTATGTTTTCAGAATATATTCGTAAGTAATTCAATTTAAGAAAAAGTAAAATCTTTGGTTAAATTATTTGATTTTATATCTAGCTGAATTTTTTTCAAAAACAAGCAGAAGAAAAACAAATTCGTCGTATTTCATTAACAGCAATAAAAACAAATGAAAATTTTATTAAACATCTTGCTTCAAGAATATCACATTTATATAATGGATGGCAACCAAGTGATACAAGTAAGAAAAATAAAACTAACAGTAGACGTATGCTAAATAGTTTCAAGCTTTTGAATTTATTTTTTGATTATAAATAGATTTTAGGGAAAATAAGAAAAATCCTTAAAAGCAATTCATTCATATATGATTTTAATAATATTATTTTGATCTTAAATAAAATTATGAAATTAGTATTATTTATCAGATTTCTAAATGGATACATTCTGAAAGTTTTCAACATTGTCATTTCTATATCAATTATGAATGCCACTCAATTGTCTTTTCTTCATGTCTGATTTAAGTCTTATACCATTTTGTTTTCTTCTTTGATTCATCAAAAAAAACTTATTAAATACTAGTTTCTATATTGTTACAACTTTTGAAATTTCATAATTTAGTCTTGTTAAAGATTTGGGAATTGAATGACTTTTAATTCTGAAGTATTAGCAGAATCAATAAACGATAATTTGAAAAAAGAACGCGTTTTTTTTATCACAACGTTTAATGACACGTCATGAACAAACAATCTTAAAGTTTTCTTAGCGTCCGTGATGAGGAAAATCTTCCTAATGAAAAGACAACATCAATTATGTAGAACTAAATGAGCTATGAGTACCCTATAAACAGTTCAGATCCCTACCTTACTCCTGATGAGATACTGCATTTTTACGATAGCTTTTAAATGAGGGCTACAGCTCTCCTCAAAGACATCAGGAAAACTGATTCTCGAATTTCGACTTGAAACTCAAGTATAGTACAAGCTTGTCTTTTACACTGCTCAAATATATCAGCGAATTTGATATTCTTATGTTATAATAAAAGTACATTGAAAGATATGAAACTTTCACAGTAAACTATTCTTGTTTAAGTTTGTTTCGGTACTAATTTTCAAGTCGAAGTTCAATAATCAATTTTTCTGAAGGCGACTCAAGGGGGAAACAGCTGACACCAGTCTCTTGGAGTCAAGTGGAGTCAAGTGAAGTCAAGTGGAGTCGAGTGGAGTCAAGTGGAGTCAAGTGGAGTCAAGTGGAGTCAAGTGGAGTCGAGTGGAGTCAAGTGGAG